TCTTGTGGCCTTCCTCCGTCTTCAAATATACCCGTGAAGGTCCAGGTTAGAATATTGATCTTCAGTAACCCTAGCTTGTCGTAAGAGGCGACTAACGGGATCGGGTGGTCAAGCTCGCTGACTTGGTTGACACATGTCATTGGTCCCCAGTTGCGCAGATCGATGCTCATGCTGTTGATCACTGGATTGTCTGGACTGGTCCAGATAGACTCGATTATTTACAGTCAGCCACCATATAGCTGGAATATTGCTGAGTGCGTCGTAAAACTAAACTCAGTCACTCACTCACTCACTCTTCAAATAATGCACAGCATGGCGTGAAAGTCGCTCTCTCTCAGACTAAGACTTATCAAGTGTTATTCTGGTACGGATTATTGGTTTGAAAGTAGCTCTGCCTCAGGTTTTGAACACTAAATGATTGTTACAGAATATACTATGACATTAGAATGAATATCTTCGGCATGTTTTAGAATGAGACAGTAGCTGTCTAGCTCCCAATCAGGACGTTCAACCAGTCACCATAGCTGTAGAGGGATATTCTGAGTCTTCACGCCTTGTCGCAGATTCGATCAGGACGATGAAGCATCTGCCACGAGAGCGGAAGGTCGTGTTTTAGATTCTCTGGTCCGTCATACAAAAAGACGTAATAAGATGGTATTTTATTACCATTCCTGGCAGTCTGCATTAAGGAGAGAACACAGATTGGTCGTCTCGGAGTCAGAGTGGTGTTGTTGAGCAGGGAATTCGTGTAACGTGCGACATGGTATCTCAGTGAGCGAGCTGCCTAAACCAGTTAAAGCAGCAACTCATTCACACACACGCGTCATTCAGTGCAATGACCTTGACGTTAAACCTCACCTCACCTCACCACACCTCAACGCACCTCACCTCACCTCATGGGCGTTTAGGTACCCTATTGGTTAAAGCGTTCGCTCGTCACGCTGATTCGATTCCCCACATGAGTACAATGGTGTCCCCCGCCGGACATATTGCTGGAATATTGCTAAAAGCGGCGTTAAACCAAACTCACTCACTCACCTCTACCTCACCTCACCTCACCTCACCTCACCTCACCTCACCTCACCTCACCTCACCTCACCTCACCTCACCTCACCTCACCTCACCTCACCTCACCTCACCTCACCTCACCTCACCTCACCTCACCTCACCTCACCTCACCTCACCTCACCTCACCTCACCTCACCTCACCTCACCTCACCTCACCTCACATCACATCACGTCACATCACAACCCATCACCTCATCTGACCTCAACTCACATCACATCACATCACATCACATCACATGACCTCACATCACATCACATCACATCACATCACCTCACCTCACCTCACCTTACATCACATCACATCACATCACCCCACATCACCTCATCTCACCTCAACTCACATCAAATCACATCACATCACATCACATGACCTCACATCACATCATATCACATCACATGACCTCACATCACATCACATGACCTCACCTCACCTCACCTCACCTCACATCACATCACATCACATCACATCACATCACATCACATCACATCACATCACATCACATCACATCATCACATCACATCACATCACATCACATCACATCACCTCACATCACATCACATCACATGACCTCACATCACATCACATCATCACCTCACATCACATCACATCACATCACATCACATCATCACATCACATCACATCACATCACATCACATCACATCACATCACATCACATCACATCACATCACATCACTTCACATCACATCACATCACATCACATCACTTCACATCACATCACATCACATCACATCACATCACATCACATCACATCACATCATCACATCACATCACATCACATCACATCACATCACATCACATCACATCACATCACATCACATCACATCACATCACATCACATCACATCACATCACCTCACATCACATCACATCACATGACCTCACATCACATCACATCATCACCTCACCTCACCTCACATCACATCACATCACATCACATCACATCACATCATCACATCACATCACCTCACATCACATCACATCACATCACATCACATCACTTCACTTCACTTCACATCACATCACATCACATCACTTCACATCACTTCACTTCACATCACATCACATCACATCACATCACATCACATCACTTCACATCATCACATCACATCACATCACATCACATCACATCACATCACATCACATCACATCACATCACATCACTTCACTTCACTTCACTTCACTTCACTTCACTTCACTCTCACTTCACTTCACTTCACTTCACTTCACTTCACATCACATCACATCACATCACATCACATCACATCACATCACATCACATCACATCACATCACATCACATCACATCACATCACATCACATCATCACATCACATCACATCACATCACATCACATCACATCACATCACATCACATCACATCACATCACATCACATCACATCACATCACATCACATCACATCTTCCATCGGAGTCTTCATTACTAAAGCCAACACTTAAGTTGTATAAGTATTCATGGTCATACTTAAAGTCAAGTGAGCCAGGAACCTGTGATCCTCGGTTTCTCCGAACTAAACAGGTAAACCTCCATGGGCTCCATCACTTCGCGTTTTCCTCCCTCATCAAGCAGACATACAGTGACGTAAATGTCGATACTGTAGAGTCGTTAAACTCACTCATCCATGGTAACATTTCGCAGCATTGATGACGTAACACACCAATATTGCCACAATGCCACAAGTTGTCACGTGACTGTTATCTCTTTTTCAACGGACTGTTTCTCCTGAAATGGGAGTAATTTATTCACAGGGTGGTAGCGCTGTCCACGCGAAACAGTGAAAGAACAGTGAAAGAAGAACATGTGGCGCAAGAGCATTGTTTTGCATAATATCAGATTTTGCCATTTGGCAGAAGGATCTAGAAAGTTAAGATCTTTCTGTAATTGCTTGACAGCCTCTGTATTCAATGCAATTGCACGTTTAGCGAGGGCATCCTCCGGAGTATCGAAACAAGATCGCGCAAAATGATCGTTTCAACACAGCAAAAAAGGTGTGTCTGCTGATGAGGATGTCATATTTCGTGTTGAAACGATCATTTTCTTTCGACACTCAGGAGGGTGCCCTCGTCAAACGCGCACTTGTAATAAATAGAGAGGATGTCAAGCTATTACAGAAAGATCTGTAACTTTCTAGACCCGTCTGCCAAATTGCAAAACCTGATATACTTGCCAAATTATGCAAATAAGAGGGAAAACTTGCCATTACTCTTGCGCCACGTGTTCTTCTTTCACTGTCCAGGGAGGAAATGGAGTGGCTTTTGGCTCAACTCCAGATTTCGCGTGGAATGCTAAAAGTGAAAGAATCATGAAAATGTAATTTGTTAAATACGATGTGTGATATGTTAGGGTTCGATGCATTTGGTTTGGTTGTGACAGCGGTGCTACGTAGACCGCAAGAAACCCTGGGTAGCAGCCTATTTCATGGTATAAATGGTAATATTCGCTTCCTGTCTAGTGATCCGAATTTCGGTAGGAATTCGGGCATGTTCGGGACAGATTCGTGTAATGACGTCAGTTGTAGATGGTTTCCAATTTTGTTCTCTTGAGAGGACGATCTCGTGATCGTACACATGGCCTTGACAGTCTGCCCCTTCCATCTGTACGACAAGAGGTAACTCCATTCTGTACGGCTTCATTCTGCTCCCTCCATCTGTACGGCTTCCGTCTACTCCCTGCATCTCTACGACAAGTGGTATGTTCACCTCTAGGTACACCTGGAATCTACCCCTCATATCTGTACGGCAAGAGGTAACTCCAATCTGAACGGCTTCTATCTACCCACTCTATCTGTACGACAAGAGTCAACACGACCCAGTCCATCTGTACGACTATCCCTTCCAGTAATAACCAATGTCTTGGCAAGAGTACAGCCAGGCTGTTGCCATATATTCCACAACGCACATAAAAATGGCATGTATTTGAAGCTCGTGTAATATCCTATAAGTATGTTAATAGAACACGCCCGTTTCATAACCCTTCTTTGGTAACAGTGTTACAATACAGTAAAGGAGAATGGAAGTCATCCCGAGCCGCTTGTCAGCGTTTCCAACTTTCTGTCCAACTACTGAATTCCACATAACATATGAAGTATGAGTTGGTTGGAAACAGTAAAGACATGAATGATACCTCGCGTCACAATAGAAGAAAGAGTCGTCCATAAAATATCATGTCTCAGCTGTAAGGAAGTATATAATCAGTATGTAACGTAACAGCTTGAATTACATTGTACAAAAACAAATAATACACTCGTCGCTCCGTGGACCGGTGTTCGAATCCCAATGGAGAACGCAACGTGGACACCATTCTTGTTGTCTTGGCTGCAATATCGCTACAACGACTGGTTTATTTGAGTCACACATGGCGACGTTGTGTTTGATGTATTTTACCTTTACATCAGACAATCTCCTGAGGTTTACCTGGTTAAAACTTAATTTTCTATGGCTCTAATAGGATATGTTTCTCTTGAATTGGAGCGTCAGCTGCTCTTGTCAATGTTGTTTCATTCCATTTGAATATTTTCCGCAACATTCTTAGTGGATTCCGTTTAACACCCCTCATGTACACCTGAAGGACTCAGGTCACCAGAACATTTGGTGAAACAAACTCACAGGCACTGGTTTGGGTCTAACAAAGCAAAAATTTTAATCAGCACAAATCTATATTTAGACCCACCATCATCAGATGCTGGCCTGCCTACGGGAGGCAACTCGGTACAGCAAATTGTGGCACATAGGTCGATCGTTTTCACGAATTTTGCACAGCCCGCATCTTTTGAAGTTCCAAATTATCCTCAGCATAACGAGCAGCCCTTTATGGCCTGTTCGGACACACATTTAAAACACATAACGGATTAGAAATCTGTAGGCTATAGATGGTGACAAATGTAACAACGATGATCGATCACAACACATTTTTATTGGTTACTAGCAAAGAACAAAAAAAGTCAAATATATCTGGATATCTAGAAGCTCATTGAATAGAAGCTACAAAACCCAAGCTACATCCACGCGTAAAATGGTTACAATGTAATATATCATAAAAATACAAAACTACAACTATTTGGTTGTGCAGAATACACAACAATGTAAGGTAACATCAAACTACACAAGAAATTGTCGGTATGGGTCATCTGAATCTAACTACCAAAGGACAATCGGCACGATGATCATGTCAAAAACACACCAATACAAACAATTTATGAGAAAAATGATTCAACAGACGTACGCTAAGCGCTTTCATAATGTGTTCACAACAAACATTGTCCGGAAGTGATCTGACATGCATTTCCCTGGTGTGTATCGAGCACGAGCCTTGCTTTTCTAACCTCCGTAAGAATAAATAATTAACTGTCACAATGACCGACATGGTACTCCGACTTAGTTGATTCCAATGTAAAGACACTTACTTAAAGCGACAACCATAACACTACTTCCCCATATATTTTGTACATGTATTGTGGCACTGGGATATTACAAACTGCAAATATGCAAGTTAGACCTCTCATGCCCTAAGCAACAAAAAACGTTAATGCACAGTATTGGTAACCAAAGATACCAAATCTCAAAGAAATTGATTATTCATAATATTTACATAGAAATTCGTGGTCACTGCTTGATTTGATTTTTAAGGTCCCTTCCATAGTTGCTTGGTTCAGAGCGAAAATACATTTGTTCAATCTTCACGTCTTTCAAGGCGTTCCAGCTGTTTCACAATGTAACGAATGTGGCCATTCCCGTCGGCGGCAGTTGGATGTTTCATCTGAAGAGCACGTTTCAAGCCTGAACGTTCTATCATCGCTTTTGTTGTCGAAAGGACATCAGTTATAGAGAAACCACACTTTTGTCCAGACAGATAAAGAGAATGGTTGCAGTCAAGTTTTCGATAGGCAAGTTTCAGGTATTGCGCTACTTCAGCACTTTCAGCAACTGCAGTACACAGATGCGCCACAGCACTGAACACAGAGACACCAATCCCAACACAAAACAGAGGGGCTGACAATCCTCTCATACAAGCAATTTGTAATAGGAAGGCTCCAGTTTTTGTTAAACAGCTACCAATTACCAGACAGCCACCAACCTTCACCATAACAGATGCAAATCGCCTTTTGGACTCATAGCTGACACTTTTAACATCCAAGTCCTCAGCAAGTTTATTCAAAGCGTTTATGACGTCTGGTAACTGCGAACCGGGATTACGTGGCCTGTCTGGCATCATGAGTGGTCGTGGTCCCTCAAACTATAAAAGCAAGGGAATCTTCTATTAGTTGATTTAAAACTATACTGACCGCTAAAGTCGCAAAAGCTAAGCTCCTCCCTGGCGTCGCAATTCTTGTTCTAAGTCGTCTGCTATTTTCCGGATCTCCATAGCCAACGCAGAGTTTATCCCTGAATTTTCCTTCCTTGCCTGTTCAGCGGCTACCCTATTTTTAACAAAATCTTTAACGTTGAAGGTGATGGTTACAACATGAAACACCACAGCTGCTCCAACAATAGCCAAAGCAGCTTGACCACATAGTATGGTGCCGCCAACCATAATTGAAAACCTGGCCACTTCTATGAAAGGGCTTAAAATGCCAAGCACATTATTCACACAGCTGTCATCTCCGTCCTCTTTTCTTTTATCACCCAACCTATCCGATGTTTTTAGCAAGTAGTTGCCATAAACTGAGAGTTTTCTCTGAGCCAGTTTTAAGTACACATCGTACGCAGACTGTTCGGCAACCTTAGTTTGGTAGCCAGCAAGACCACTAGCTCCTGCTACCACGGCTCCACCTACAGCCACAACACCAGCAACAGGTACGATAACAGGTGCTAAGGCAACTCCAGCAAGTGAAAGGAGGGCTGCTGCACCCCCGGATAGACCGGCAACTGCTGAACCAACCACAGTACCTTTACCATACTGTGACTTATTTTCTGCATAATATCTATAGTCTCTCTCCAAACAATCCGCCAGTTTATTTAATGATTTTATTATATCCTGTATGTGCTCGACAGATGGTCTGCTCATTCTGGTGTGGTACCTTAAATGTAAGACATAAAAAATAATAAATATGCATGGTTTAAAGGGATGGGTAAGGGTGTGTGTGTGTGTGTGCGTGCGTGCGTGCGTGTGTGTGTGTGTGTGTGTGTGTGTGTGTGTGTGTGCGTGTGTGTGCTGGTGTTATTTTTCGTGACATGTGCCGAAATACGCACCCTTTGTGTCACGCAGCAAATCGATGTACATGTGTGTTTATATATAGGAGAGATGACAAGAACGTCAGCAGGTTTTAGTTTAGTCTCCAGTGGAAACAGTTATTATCTACGTAACACACAGAATTCCTTCATGAATGTACCATTAAATACTAATAAAAACAACTCTGAGATCTCAGACTTTTCCCAAACATATATCCAAATTATTGTTTACTGAAAGATACATGTGCCCAGCATTGTCGGCAAAAGGAAACAGAACCCTTTTCTTGTGTATTGACATACTGAAGTTTCATCGACAACTCCACAACTTATATAATGAAACTTTGCCCTGACCAAAATTGTTTAACTGGAGTAAAAATGGGGACAAGTAACTCGATGCTTTGAACACTTGGGTCTCGTCAGCTTTTCCTGGATGCTTGTCTGGGAGCAGAAAACTATAATTTTGAAACTACGTTAACGGATAAAGAAATAAGAAACTCAACATTACTGCATCCTGATCTAAGATCTGGCTTCTTACATCCACGCCATGACAACTGGATTGTCAGTGAACCATCGGGAAATGAGTGATTGTTGTAAGAACCAAGTCATCGACAACGAACTAGGATTGGATATGATTTCACTCTCACAATCAACTGTTGGTATTGAATACAACGGATATCAAGTTATGGTAACTATCACCACTTAACCAACATCAACTGTCTTACCTCGTATCTGAACTGCAGAAGCCTAATGTGCAAGTACCGAAGCTATACAGCTGCAGGGCGGGTATTCGCGAGGCGTTGCTACTGTTATAAGGCGCACGGATAGTGACGTGATTTAAACCCGACCTATCAGAGTATGTGGACGAACCTAATGTTATTATAATATAGGGGTGGTGGGTCTCAGTAGCGTATGAACAACATCAATTTTCTGTCTCTACTTCCACGAGGAATCTTATACTTACACATTTGTTACACGTCTTGTGGTCTTGATAGGATTAAAGTTTTCATTATGCAGATTAACAAGACATTCTCACATATATGTATGCGTGAGAGATTCCTCAGAACCCCATTGTCGTCTGGGTCAAGTCGAGTTTCTGACGTAATATCCAAACGAAACTTCTATTCCTGAGGAAAGGGTCTATTCTGCGCACTCATGGTGTTGTATGAATCAGCGAAACTTTACATCTGAGAGGAAAGGATTTGAGGCCCTACGTGTCCTGACCTGTTAGTATTGCGCATAGAAGTATAGCATAGAGTTAATTAATAAATCATTAAGAGATGCGACGTTTCAGCAAATTATAGCTACGCAGTTTGTTTTGGGTGGTTGACAGCAAATGGACAACGTCACCGGGAGAGAAATACACCTACACGTAATTTGATTAGCCCGGTAATTATCAAACTGCTCTCTAGAAATGCATGATTAACTAACCCCTTTAAATGCCTTTGGAAAATCAAAGTCAGGAAGAAGCTGTGAAACTACCTTTAGTTTGGAAAGATATTGTGGTCCATGCACCATGCACGTGCTCTGCGCGCGTTACCCGTGTCCTGCACGTGTGCTGCAAGCATTACCCGTCTTGTGAGGAACGCATGGTTCATACTGACAGACAAGCTGGCAAGCGAAGGGTTGCAGGTCCCGAAATTAGGCATCGACACAATATTGGAAGTTTTCAATATTGTGATATTTTACAATCGTATGCATTGAACAGTGTGAGACTTTTCAAATATTCAGCCCCTTTATTTATCAAAGATACAGACTGGCTTAGAATATCTCTGTTCTGTTATGGATAGTTACGATCCCGTCTTCAGCAACCCATACATCTCGAGAGGCGACTAACGGGATTGGCTGATGCATGCCATCGTATCGCAATTGCTTAAATCGATGGTCAAGCTGTGAATTACTGGACTGACTGATCGAGAATCGAAACAGGAATATTGCTGACAACAATTAATTAAACAAAATAATGTTATACTAAATATGTTATCGGGATGACGTCATCATCCTAACCTAAAACTGACAGTATATACATGTGCAGCTCCAGTTTCAAATTCAGCTATAACAGATAGGTGACTGGCACAAAGACAACACAGATTCACATCCACCAGACCGCTCAGAACACCTGCAGAAGAACGCTTCAACAGCCATGGATGTAAATGTGTATCTGACATGAATGGTATGTACACGACACAATGCAGCCCTGCATTACATCCCAGCAAAATATACGGGTAGACAGCAGTAGATTCACTTTCACCAGACAGTTAACAACATGTGCAGAAGAACGCGGACATGTTCAAACATTTTATAAACAATTATTTTTTTGCCAACCAAAGGGCATGCCGTCCAAATCCTCCCACAGTTCATAAGCTCATAGTATTTCTGACGAATTGTATTTGTGAGGTCCGAATTGTATTGGGTTTTGTTCTTCTTGACTCCTACGCCCTATTTAACTGTAGCCCTTGAATACGGTTCATTTCTGTTTAAGAAGGCCATAGCATCACTCCCACGTTTAAATTGCTAGAAAGGCTATTCTGACAGTGCTGGATTACATTCAACATCAGCCAAATAATAGACATTTTGTCACCTTTTCTGATTCCTTGTCATTCCATCAGCCACTAATCGATGTTTCTTTATTAACCATATGTTCTTGAAATTTTGAAGCTGTATAATGACCTTTCTACTGGCCGACCTTCAATCTGACTGTAAAATATTTTTTCACACGAGATACATACATGTATTACCAAATTTCATCTTTACAGGATGGTTTCATCAACGCCGATTCACATTTACTCCTAGGCTCTTAAAAAGAAATAGAATTGTTCTATAGATTTTCATCAATAGTGATTAAAACAGGTTGGCGTAATTGATAACTAATTTTACCATTGTCCCTTGTGAAGATTGTGAATGTTTTCCTGTCCCTTGGGATAGATGTTCAGGATAACTATTCGCGTCTATATTTGATCGACGTAAAATGTTTGCTCACTCAAATAGGTCCAAATATTATACTGGTTCCCCATTCTGGAGCAAAGGATTTAGTTACTACTAGTATCTTGTATAGACACAAAAAATTCTAATGGAAACTTGGGTGAATCAAATATTCTGTAAGGCTCTCTGCGTTCCATCATGACTGATCCAGGCTTGATTATACTCAGATAACAGTAGAAACTAATATTGCGGAGTTAATTAAACAAACAAAACAATGTTAATAAGATATTGTTTGATCTATTCACCGACAAAGCTTTCTCTTGACGTTATCATCTTAACCTAGAGCTTGCAGTTGATATATTTGAAGCTCCACATTCAGCCGTGAAAGGTACGTGACTGGCGCATAGACAACATTACATTCACATTAACCAGTCTGTTAACAATACATGGAGAGGAAAACCTCGGGGTCTGTTAACCCTAAATGGTGTGTACACAACTCGAAGATCCCCTACAACACGTCACAGCATAAACATGTGAAGACAAGTCTTACAATTGTTATGAGAGTGGGTTTTTTTGTAATTTGTAATGTCACATTGATTAAGTGATAGTAATATTGGGTCACAATGTTTTAAGTTTTGAGTGTGGTTTTGGTTCGCATCTCGCATCATATATGTTCTCTGTCAGTAGTATAGCGCTTCAGAGTTGCCTCCCTTGGGGCAATCTTTTGCATTTGTTTTGACTTTCTGTCTTGTGTTTACGATGGCTTTCGTGAACGTTCTGAGACAATAATTATGGAGCCTAGCTTTGCTAGAATGCTCGAGAACTGTGTAAGAGGCTGGTTGTTGCGTTGTGCGAGACTTATTACATGACTGGATTTACATAAATCTCTCTGCCATCGTCGAGTTTCTCAGCATTTCAAGACTCACCGTGCTTGCCTGCTGTCGTTGTTAACGACCCTCAATAAGTATATCTGTTCTCACTGTAAATGTCAAGACTCTGGTGATATATTTATGACCCAATATTATAGATTTGTGTCTCAATTGCATTGTACTAGAAATCTGTATTGTCATTCATTGTAGCTAGCTCATTGTTTGTTTAGTATATTATTGAATATTTTAGACTTGTCTGTGCTCTATTTTGTTGGTACAAAGGGGACTCTTAAATCTTTTTGTCACTGCAAATTATTAACTGTAACACAATACACCACATGACATACACGTGTAGTCTGACAACACATCACAGCACATACACGTGTAGTCTTACAACACATCGCAGCACATACACGTGTAGTCTTACAACACATCACAACACATACACGTGTACTCTTACAACACATCACAGCACATACACATGTAGTCTAACAACACATCACAGCACAAACACGTGTAATCTTAGAACAAATCACAGCACATACACATGTAATCTCACAACAAATCACAGCACATACACGTGTAGTCTTACAACACATCGCAGCACATACACATGTAGTCTTACAACATATGGCAGCACATACAGGTGTAGTCTTACAACACATCAAAGCACATACACGTGCAGTATTTCAACACATCACAGCACATACACGTGTAGTCTGACAACACATCACAGCACATACACGTGTAGTCTTACAACACATCACAGCACATACACGTGTAGTCTTACAACACATTACAGCACATACACGTGCAGACTTACAACACATTGCAGCACATACACGTGCAGTCTTACAACACATCACAGCACATACACATGTAGTCTAACAACACATCACAGCACATACACATGTAGTCTAACAACACATCACAGCACAAACACGTGTAATCTTAGAACAAATCACAGCACATACACATGTAATCTCACAACAAATCACAGCACATACACGTGTAGTCTTACAACACATCGCAGCACATACACATGTAGTCTTACAACATATGGCAGCACATACACGTGTAGTCTTACAACACATCAAAGCACATACACGTGCAGTCTTTCAACACATCACAGCACATACACGTGTAATCTTACAACACATTGCAGCACATACACATGTAGTCTTACAACTTATCGCAGCACATACACGTGTAATCTCACAACACATCACAGCACATACACGTGTAATCTCACACACACACAGCACAGCACGTGTGGTCTCACAACATATCACAGCACATACACGTGTAGTCTTACAACACATCGCAGCACATACACATGTAGGCTTACAATACATCACAGCACATACACGTGCAGTTTACAACATATCGCAGTACATACACGTGTAGTCTCACAACGCATCACAGCACATACACGTGTAGTCTTACAACACATCACAGCACATACACGTGTAGTCTTACAACACATCACAGCACATACACGTCCAGTCTTACAACATATCGCAGCACCTACACGTGCAGTCTTACATCGCAGCACATACACGTGTAATTTTACAACACATCGCAGCACATACACATGTAGTCTGACAACACATTACAGCACATACACGTGCAGACTTACAACACATTGCAGCACATACACGTGCAGTCTTACAACACATCACAGCACATACACATGTAGTCTAACAACACATCACAGCACATACACATGTAGTCTAACAACACATCACAGCACAAACACGTGTAATCTTAGAACAAATCACAGCACATACACATGTAATCTCACAACAAATCACAGCACATACACGTGTACTCTTACAACACATCGCAGCACATACACATGTAGTCTTACAACATATGGCAGCACATACACGTGTAGTCTTACAACACATCAAAGCACATACACGTGCAGTCTTTCAACACATCACAGCACATACACGTGTAATCTTACAACACATTGCAGCACATACACATGTAGTCTTACAACTTATCGCAGCACATACACGTGTAATCTCACAACACATCACAGCACATACACGTGTAATCTCACAACACATCACAGCACATACACGTGTGGTCTCACAACATATCACAGCACATACACGTGTAGTCTTACAACACATCGCAGCACATACACATGTAGGCTTACAATACATCACAGCACATACACGTGCAGTTTACAACATATCGCAGTACATACACGTGTAGTCTCACAACGCATCACAGCACATACACGTGTAGTCTTACAACACATCACAGCACATACACGTGTAGTCTTACAACACATCACAGCACATACACGTCCAGTCTTACAACATATCGCAGCACCTACACGTGCAGTCTTACATCGCAGCACATACACGTGTAGTCTTACAACACATCGCAGCACATACACATGTAGTCTGACAACACATCACAGCACATACACGTGTAGTCTTACAACCCATCACAGTACATACATGTGTAATCCCACAACACATCACAGCACATACACGTGTAATCTCACAACACATCACAGCACATACACGTGTAGTCTTACGACACATCACAGCACATACACGAGTAGGCTTACAATACATCACAGCACATACACGTGCAGTCTTACAATACATGGCAACACATACACGTGTAATCTCACAACACATCACAGCACATACACGTGTAGTCTTACAATACATAACAGCACATACACGTGTAGTCTTACAACATATCGCCGCACATACACGTGTAGTCTTACAATACATCACAGCACATACACGTGTAGTCTTACAATACATCACAGCACATACCCGTGCAGTCTTACAATACATGGCAACACATACACGTGTAATCTCACAACACATCACAGCACATACACGTGTAGTCTCACAACACATCACAGCACATACACGTGTAGTCTTACAACACATCACAGCACATACACGTGTAATCTCACAACTCATCACAGCACATACACGTGTAGTCTCACAACACATCACAGCACATACACATGTAGTCTTACAATACATCACAACACATACACGTGTAGTCTTACAACACATCACTGCACATACACGTCCAGTCTTACAACATATCGCAGCACATACACGTGCAGTCATACAACATATCGCAGCACATACACGTGTAATCTTACAACACATCACAGCACATACACATGTAGTCTTACAACACATCACAGCACATACACGTGTAGTCTGACAACCCATCACAGCACATACATGTGTAGGCTTACAATACATCACAGCACATACACGTGCAGTTTACAACATATCGCCGCACATACACGTGTTGTCTTACAACACATCACAGCACATACACGTGTAGTCTTACAATACATCACAGCACATACACGTGCAGTCTTACAATACATGACAACACATACACGTGTAGTCTTAAAGCACATACAACCCACAGTTTTCAGATACAGTGTATCACTGCTGAACAGACAGTGACCCGTGTCAGATCGCTTAAACATTCAAATCTCCTATTTCTGGTTTGGTATTGTTACACTGGTTAAGGTAAAATAGAAGACGCACGACTGTTTAGATAATGCATACCTGTTTATAACTATAATATCATAATCTCAGTTCTGTAATGACCAAGGAATATTCGGGCTACAACTGGTCAACGGCAGCTATTTAGATCGGATAGTCAGGTTTGATGACTTGGTTGACGCATTATTTGATGTTATGTCATTTTAATGCAAAAGTATAATACCATGATTTGTGGTGTTTCCCCTATATCGCTGTTTAACTATTGTCAGCATAATCTTGAAATCTGTTTGATTTGACATTAGGCTTCGTGACACGCCCTTGAAGCGATGTGGTGTTATTTTATGCTATGCACAGTTACTTTTTTCCGCCAGTATACATTTGCAGCTCTTATTTCAAATTCAACTATTACAGGTAAGAAACTAGGGCATATACAGCAGAAGATTCACATTCAGACTCTTAACAACACACTGAGAAGAACACTGCAACAGCCATGGCGTAAACATGTATTCTGGCCAATACATCACAATACATCACAGAACGTCTTGGCTCACGTCTCCGTGTGTGCAAAGCCAATGCGTCCACGTCTCATTGTGTATATTATTGGAATTATTGGCTGTCTTAGTTGAAAGGAAACCAAGTTCACTGAAATCCATAAGGACGTTAACAAAATACAGAACACTTAAATCCTAATGTATAACATCCTACAAAGCTACAAACCAATTGACACATTAACATGAAACAGTCGGTTAGAAACTCATTGTGTAACGTTTTGGATGGGACCTGATAAACGTGAAACAGTTTGCGCCCAAAATAGATGTCCCAACAAACTTTTGCCAAACAAATCAGTTACAATCATGTTAAACTGCAGATAAAAACAATGCATTCGTTTTTTTCGTCAGCCAAAGTGTATGTCGTCCAAATCCCCCCACAGTTCATAAGCTCATTGGCCCTCTTACGAATCGTATTTGTGAGATCCGAATTGTATTGAGTTTTGTTCCTCTTGACATACACTCCTACGCTAAATGTGACTGTAGCCCTTGAATACGGTTGATTTTTCTTTAAGAAGGCCATAGCATCACTCCCTTTCCTCGTGTTTCCGTCTTCGAGGGTCAGTACCAGAGATGTCACATCAATCATTTCGCCTAAATTCCTAACTGCTCTGATGTCACAACTTCCAAGTGGGCTCTGTTGTTTTAGGTACTGTGAATACTCGTCAAAGATGGCTTGTGCTTCTTTCACATGGGATGTGAATGATGCATTTTCTGCATACCTTTTATACGCACCAACGGCGCCAATGCCACTTCCCAAAACCATTCCAACTAGAGCTATGGCGGGAACCACTGTGGCAAGAGAGAAACCAAGAAGCGAGAGACCAAAGACACCTCCAACACTCGCAGTTACAATGGTTCCTCCTGTTATGTTCACAACAAAGGATCTTCCAGCAATTTTGACATAACGTGCATCGTCTGCGTCCAGAGCGTCAGCCAGTTTATGTAATGCGTCCTTCACTTTGTGAACAAACGCTATTGCTGCTTCAGTCATTATTGTTGATGCTTCTTGAACCTGAAATATTAAACATTAAAATCAAATTATCAATTTAAGGGAAAATTTTAATGCTTTGTAAAATGTTACTCCTTCTTTTCTGCATTTTCAAACATAATTCAAATTCTGTTAAGCTTCTCCAGTGTACATATACTAGTGACGGTAGTTCTATGTATTCAACGAATTTGCTGACATTTTCATTAGTAAGTGAATGGCCTGCTTCGATCATGCTTCACAACAATGTTTGAGAGAAGTTTATATGGCTGAACAGCTTCATTCCTAGAACTGTATATTTTCATCATCAATTTGGAAAATAAATGGCTAACACTGGCACAAAATATATGCTTGCCAGCCAAAATAAAATGCTTGTCAGGTCAACCGTCAGTTAGAAGTTTGACGTAAACCCTGTCCTCTGAATAATAATCTATGTATGGTACCTGGAATATGACAGGAAGAGTTAACTCCTCTTGGTCGCCAACATGGGTTGAAAATGAAAAATGTCTATTTACAACACACGTACCTTAACCGGGAGCGTTTCCATACGATACAGTGGATTTTGCAAGATTTATCGTTCTGATTTATAATTGCATTTCTGATGTGCATGAATGTCAGTGTTCGTCTAAATTGTCAGAAAATATCTGCTCAATCCTGACTTATCAAAGGTTAGAGAACTGTATAGTTTCATCATCCAAAATCTGGTACATCATGATATACGGAAATAGAGGTCATGGCATAAGATACTGTCAGCAAGACACAATATAAAATATCTGGGATCTGATGTTATATATTTAAATACCCTATGTTTATGCCTTCCAGCTTCGTCAAAATGTCAGTACGAGTGAGTGAGTTTAGGTTTAGCAATATTCTAGCAATATCATGGCGGGGGACACCAGAAGTGGCGTTCACACATTGTACCCATGTGGGGAATGGAACCCGGGTCTTCGGTGTGAGGAGCGAAAGCTTTAACCACTACCCCACCGCCACAGTACGATGTAAGCCAGATATAGTAGTGTATTATGGTGGAGGTGAATTCGTTTCATTCATAACATACAAATATATGTTTAAGAATAAGTCTTTTCTTTGTTTATAATTTTTTGGGCTATTTGCCATCATAAGTATATCAAGTCTATCAATGAAATTTGCAAAAAGAAATCTCTTTTGGTATGGAACGATCAGAAAATTATGAAAAGTTTGTCCAAAGGAAGATGTGGCATGGTTTAATTTTATTTAAAAAACTGTCCATTCTTGTAGAAATATGGTTAGTTCGATATCATGCCTTCACAATATCTTTTTTCTAATATGAATGGATTTTATCATCAACAACATTGAGTGAATCGTAAAACGTTACTGACAAATGCGCATCTGGCCAATCATTATGCACCACTGTATTGTCCATACAAATGCATCAACAATGAATAAGACAATTCCTTTATCTGCATATTCAGTTCATAAAATATATCAATCATTTTTATTAAGATTGTCAGTTTTACTTATAAGGTTAAATCAATCACTGTTCATTAACCTATTCATATGAAATAGCAATTAATATTGAATTGCACAAAGTAAGAACTAAAGAACATGTACTTTTCATCTGCAAACACTTGTGTAAAGGCTAAGGATGTCGTGACATTGTCCCACTTAATAGTTAAAAAAAAGATACAACTCAAAACATAGGCTGATTTCTTTTCCATCAGGAACATGCCGAGTGGGGCATACCGATAAACGTTAGAAACGTCCCACCGTGACCTTATCCTTGAAGTTCCCGTGTGCACTGTTGACCGCCACGCCTCGCACGTCATGTATTAGATATGATAATGTTATTTAATTACTCAAATTTCAGGTACATAAGTGGATCCTAGTCGTTTATAAACATGTTTGCATGGTCCTATTTGACCGTGAATCAAATATGTTTAAACGACAACACTTCGGTTATCATCACGACTGTTAACATAAGTAATTCTATGAATAATAACTCCCTCACCCCAAAAACAACATACATACATGTCACTTATATTATCGATCTGAAAATTTGAAAATTGTGCAGAACATGGGCCATATTAGGAAAGTGTGGCAAATCTTTTAAACCCAAATAAACTACATGTACTCGTAAAATGCTTGCCTTACCATCAATCGATAAATGATACTGAGAATGTTAATAATAATTATTTTGCACCGATGTATGTTTTTATCTTTCGAAACGTTGACAAATTTCTCTTCAAACAAATGAAGAGAAGTCGATCGAATGATATAACAGTAAATCGTGAAATATATTAATCATTTATGTTTGTTAGAATAATCTTAAAACGTATCTATTGTTTCAGTACATGTTTACAGGTATGGTTATATTTCTTTTTTTTTGACAGACAGACAGACAGACAGAAGTTTTTCGTAATATCGGCCTCATGGCCTATAATACAGTCACAAACTATGGCAGTTTCGTGAAACAGTGGTCATAATTAGTATTGGGATCTTACTTTAAAAACATAATGTAAAAATAGTGCTGTGCAGTATATAACTTGGGGGTTTTTGGATTGCAAAATTGACTGCAGAGTGAGTGGGCCTTTGTAGACATTTTGTAATTGTTTGAAGTAACTGTCTCTGTACCGCTGATATTTGACACATCGGAAGAATACGTGATTCTCAGTTTCTGTTTCCGCGGCGTCACAGAATGAACACAAGTAGTTCGTACGTGGGGCATCCTCATTAAGTCTGTACATGTTCACTTTAAAATTGTTATTCGAAATACGAAACTTGATAAGTGCACGGATCAGATGTTTATATTTTAGTTCTGTTATGTAGGACTCCAGGCAAAGTTCATGTTTCAACTGTGAATAATGGCTGAAAAAAGTGGAGCTGTTGATTTCGTTGTGCCAAGTTTGGTAGGCGTTATCCTTCAATCGTTGTTTGAAAGTATACATGAATAGCTGCACGTTAGCAACGCCCTGGTTTAACCAGACATGAGAAAACCCGTTTCTGAATAATAAGTTTCTAACATTGGATGCCCAGTTTGTTCTGCCCATATCATCAAATGTTTTTAGCATTCTGTAGCACTGCAGTGGATAGCGTTGTTCATTCATACTGAGTATCTTGAACCAAAACTTGATTACACGAATCTGTGTTAATACGGTTATAATATGGTTATATTTCACAAAATACTGAGGAAATACAAATCATGCTTGTTGCTTTGTTTTCAGGCTTTTAAAAGCACTCGGCTGTCAGAGTTATTCTGAGCAGACTATTAGTGGCCGTTCAATTAACAGTTGTAACAAATGCTAACTGTCTGACATATTTGGATTTTGTGGCCATATTTTGTTTTAGTTACAACTTTGTTAGAAATTCAGTATATTGTCGTCAATACATTCTTTACAAATATAATACTTCCTGTTATCGTTAGCATGTACAGACACATTAACGCCATACTAAGAAATACTGGCCTATCGAATACAGGAACGTTCCTCGTTCCTATCACTGAACGTTACAAAATTTCACTAACAGGGACGCGGAAAGAGTTTATCAACCTTATGTACACGTTTGAAAACAAACGACAGTTCGTTGAAGTAATGACACAACTACGTTTTTAAGGCACAATGTTTGGTCGGAATAGTCCGACATGACTGTTCGGAATAGCCCGACATGGCTGTTCGTAATAGCACGACATGGCTGTTCGGAATAGCGCGACATGACTGTTCGGAATAGCCCGACATTGCTGTTCGGATTAGCCCAACATGACTGTTCGGAGTAGCCCGACATGACTGTTAAGAATAGCCCGACATGGCTGCTCGGAATAGCCCAACATGACTGTTCGGAATAGCGCGACATGACTGTTAGGAATAGCCCGACGTGACTGTTCGGAATAGCCCAACATGATTGTTAGGAATAGCCCGACATGACTGTTCGGAATAGCCCGACATGATTGTTCGGAATAGACTGTCATGACTGTTCAGAATAGACTGACATGACTGTTCGGAATAGACCGACATGACTGTTTGGAATAGCCCAACATGATACGGAATAGCCCGACATGACTGTTCGCAATAGCCCGACATGATTGTTTGGAATAACCCGACGTGACTGTTCACAATAGCCCGACGTGGCTGTTCGGAATAGCCCGACATGACTGTTCGGAATAGCCCGACATGACTGTACAGAATAGCCCGACGTGACTGTTCGGAATAGCCCGACAAGGGTGTAAAAAAATGAAAATTTGAAGATGTGAAATATCCATCAGCAACAGGATTGGTCGACAGGATTTATTTACCTTTGTGCGTCAATAGGATTCCCACTAAACAGTCCTTTGTTACTATTACTTATTGCTTCATGTAATAAACACAACAGGAATTAGATATGATATGGTGTTAGCTGTTCGGTAATACTCGACACCGCTCTACACCAAATGGCGCTTCTACCAGTTTCATCACACATCATCAAGAATGGAACCATGTTGAAATTACTTCAAACTTCAACATTATCCACACTAAGATCGGGCCAGACTAACCTTAAATGTTCACCTTAACTAAAGCTACCTTAGCGTAAGGTAGATTTGTGCAACGGGACGTCAACCTTAGCAAAAACGTAAGGAGGTACGATGATCTTAGCGCTAAGGTTGTTTTGAACAACGACACCAATGTCATTAGTAGTATGTATATTTAGTTTGAGACACCTTTTGCAGAATAATATCGGTAGGCCTTCTATTGACTTTTGCATGAAGTTTCAAAGGTTTCAGTACCATAACACAAAATTGGAACTATCATGCATTGGAATTGTCGCCAAATGGCAAAGATCCAAATTTCCAATTATTCAGTGATATCCATTATGATTATTGATGTTGACAAGAGATTTCATGGATGACGAATGGGATCAAAGTAAAAGTATCAAGTGTCACTGTAATTGGGTATAAAATATTGTTTTCAGAATACCGGACAATAGCTCAATTTAAAGTGCTGAACCAAAGGCTATTCTGACAGTGTTGGAGTACATTCAACATCTGCCAAATGAAAACAATTTGCCATCTTTTCATGTTC